TTGTGATTGATGTGTTCAGTTCTCTTAGTTCTTTGCAAAGAAAGTAACACAGTACTGGGTTTTGTCTTGAATAGTTTAAACCTTTATTTGCATAATTCATGAAATTGCATTACACTCAACTTTGTGTGGAAGAAGGATCCTGTTATAGAACTTCTACAATGTTTAATAATCCTGTGAATATTTACCAATTGAAATTTTGCAACATTGCAGAAGAGACCAGTTTTAATGAGCTACTGGATTTGCTTTGTTTCATTCCATCCTTAAGGATTTGTTGACATGTCATAGTAGTCATGCCTGTTTGGGGGAAGGGAATGAGTTTAACAGTTTACCAAGAATGGATCAGTCATGTCTTTGCCTTCTAAGAGGTCAGAGGTCATTTGACTCAGAAAAGGAGGAGGGAATCCTTGAAGGGGGCAGATAGGGTTATTTTACTGAGAGGCCATAGGGAAAATAACCTTTTTGAGTCCTTCCAAGCAAAACATTTCTTTATATTTAATGAGGGGTTTTGTTTGTTTGAATACATTTTAGAAAACGTTTTTCCTATGCTTTTGCTTATAAACAGTAACAATTTATAAAGTAAGCACTTCAGTAAAATGTTCAGTAAATCTTTAAACCAATATATAATTGTTAGTTGCTGGTAGGTTTTATGCATTTTATATTTTATGGGTTGTCTTTGGATGAAAAGTGTTTAAAAAAATACAAAGCATGAGGATTTGCTGTGATAAGCATACAGATTAGCTGTCCACAGCTGTGATTCATTACTTTCACCGTAGAAATTAAAAGTGGCTGAGGGGAGGGTACTGCAAATGCAAACCACGCTTCTGTGCTGTAAAACAGAAAGGAATGAAAGAACTGAACATAATCCATGGCCTGGTACACCCACAGAAATGTGTAAGGACAACGCCTTACATGCTACAGTTCAGCAGTCTTCAACTAACTACACATTAATAGGTAGTGGATAAGGATTAATATATTTTAAAAATACAGCAACTTTAAAACTCCTATCTAATAAGAGTAACCTAATCAGTTCTGAAATATTTAAATTGCAGATCAAGATCTTGGAGATAATACTCTGGGCCTTGTTGGCAGGGGAGGTTCACCCAGAGGAAGTCTCTCACCAAGGTAAGCATTATTGACATTGGAGAGTACAGGCAAAGAAAACATTTTAAGATTTGGAAATTATTTTTTATGAATATGCATATATTTAAGTTTCTAAAGAATTATGCAGATAATGTATATGTCTAGAAAATAAGAAAAATGGTACCAAATTTATTCTGATATGAACTGAAACACACATGATTAGATTGGCAAGATACATGATCTCTTTACCTAAGATTACAAGATGACCGTAATGGCATTAAAACTTTTTGGGAATATTGAATGTAAGTAAAAAATGGGCTAATAGAAACAATTTATTTTATGCTGAGGGTAAAACATAGGCAACATTACTAAATCCAAATATTGTATTTTCTTGCTCTAGAGAAAGCACACATGACTTCCATTATTTAAATTTGACAATAGAATCTTCTTTCTATAATTTTTTTTCACTATAACATACTTATAATTGTTGCCATTGATTTTAAAATATACTTATAAGGGAAAATTCATATAGTCTGGGCATTGGGTAAATGCTTTAAGTGAAATAGGAATGCTATTTGGAAATAATGGTGGTTATTTATTAAGAATGCTTATTTTGCATATGTGGCCTAATTGAACTCTATGGTATTTTAAGGATACTGTTGTGCCCCTTGTTTGGCCAATGGCTAAGTTTTGCCTGTGTAAGGACTGCTAGATAGGTGTGTTAGCTCTGAGCATGCCTGAACCTCAGGTATTTCAGAGCCCAAGTCTGCTTAAGCCTGATATAGCATCTTTGATACTGGTAAGTCCACCAGTTTCAGCCTATTCACAGGTGAGGACCCATCCAGGTGAATTCATATATAGGTTCCAAAGGGAAATCTGCTCAGCAAGTCTGATCTGATCAGGAACTCTTCCAGTGCCAATAACGTCAACAGACTCCCTTTGCTCTTGCTCCTGCTTAGCTGTGGCAGTTTTCACACCAACCTGCCTCTTCTCCAGCCTGCATCTGCTCTTGCCTCAGCTTGCCATCTGCCAGATCTGACAATAGGCCTCCAAAGAATTTCAGTTACCATATTATAGTATTGTAACATTGTATTTTATTATTACAGTTTGAGATTGTTATTGAAGTCTGTAATTAAAAAAACAAAATTGCTATAAATTAATGTTTGTTCTATATCGGTGGATCCAACTATGGGGAAACTAGAGCTGTTAAAGGAAAATGTCACTAGAATTTTTTAACATGGGAAAAACAATCTCCTTTTCTCTAACCTTGTAAATGGCTGAATTGTGTTGGCTGGAAATTTAGCAAAGAAATTCAGCTTGAGACAGACATCCAACATGGAAAAAAATTCAGTACACATAAAAGTTTGGCAAAGTTATAAGCACTCGAAAACTGAGTCTTATAGGAAATGTCAGGCAATGTTAATGATAGGCAGTGACACTAGCTCATCTATGATATCAAAAAGGACCATACTGTGACCTATGGTGCCGACGATAGCCCACACTGAAAAGGCTGCCAAAAGGAGAGTAGATTCTCCCAAAATAGGAGGTTAAAGCTGAAGTTAGATTCACCAATCAAACATAAATTATACTCATCTCCCACACTGATTATCAAGAAGCTGAAAAAAGGATATCACATAGCCAGCCTTTATTTCATTCTAGTTCCCTGACTATCAGCCAATGCATAGGTCAAGTAAAGTGAGACGTTAATGTAAAATTCTGCTTAGTTTACAAAATATTCATATGTTCTTAATACTAGTTTGAGTCTTTTCTAAAATATCACATTGCCAATTAATTCTTTAGAATCTACAACTATATATATGAACATGAGAATTGTTAAATGGTCAAAACGATGATTTGCATACATAAAACTTCAGGGGCGATACATCAGGTTCTTAACAACACTGAGAAGTTTGCTGGCTTGTGGAATCCCTCTGGAAAACACCCAAAGCTTAGATGGGTCCATCTTGTTCAGTGCTTCAGTTTGTAGAGAATTTTCTTCAGGGCTATGAAGCAGAATTGAATGTAAGATGGAGAAGATGCAGCTGCCTTTTTATATTCTTTACCCTGTGGCTTGTAATTCCATTGTCCCAAATGCAAACTTACCACACATGAGAGTACCCTGTCCACCAGCATGTTTCTGCATATGCTGTTTGACACACAGGTGAAGTCCCTAGCTTCTTTCGATGGACAGAGCCCTGTAAATTAGCGGGTATCTGCTTCATATCCATGCTGTCCGCATCTGCGGATATGAATGCGGATATCTGTGGCTCATTTTTGCAGATAAAGATGTAGATACAAATTTTCTATCTAGAACCCTGCAACTTTGCAGATATCTGTTTTATATCCACAGGTATCCACATCTGTGGATTATTTTTGCAAATGTGGATGTGAATATTTGTTTTATATCTATGTAAACCTCTATCAATGGGTTGATTGTATGGTTGATTTCCTTCGATAGGCATCAGCACTATCCAGCCTAATTGTTTGGTTATCTGTCTGGAGATACTATCCAGATACACAGCATAGGTTTTACAAATATACCACACATGTATAATTCACAAGACTAAGATTGTACATACATACAAACATGATTATCATATTTAGCCAATCATAACTTTTCCACTGATACCTTACATGGCACATCTTGTAAGATACTTTGTCTAATATTGGTATCAGTGATACTGTAAAATATCATCAATATTACATACCTTGCAAGTTTGCTTTCCTAGCATAACCTCTGCCCACTAATTCATTTCTGCAGGGCTACTTGTAATGTTCAAATTTGAACAACATCACATATTTGTCAGTGTATAATACCTGTTTTTAAATATGTATGTACATCCCTGTGTAAATGTAAATCAATATGTTAATATAATAGCAAGGCTGAGAATTTAAACAGTTATTCCTTGACTGCAATAAACAGGAGACACGTGTATATAAAGAGGCATGGTATAAATACCTGAAATGAGGCAAGGGAAGAATGTTAAGGTTGAAAATGAAGTGCTCAGATATCAGGAAATGAGAGTGAGTTGTCTACCCAGCTTTAGCTCTACCCTCTTGTACATATAGTCTTTTATTACAGGATCAAATACTATTTTTATCAATGCCCATGACTTGTTCCCTTGTAGTAAATAAAACAAAGGAGTACTGGAAACGTATAGATTGCTTCATAGCTAAGGCAGTGCACTGAAATACAGATTATTTAGATTCTATTCTTGACTTTCTACAGACTTCATGTATGACCTTAGACAAGTTGTTAAATCTCTTTGCTACAGCTGTAAAATACAAAGAACATACTTTCTGACCTCACAGGGGTGTTGCAAATACCTTAGAAAACCTATACAGAAAGAAGTTTCTTATAGTGCAGATTTCAGTGTAGTATAGTAAATCAGTTAATGATTCTGCAAGAGTCTTCTTCCTTGTCCATCACTTCAGCCAGATGAAGACAAGTAGTTGTGGTGACATTTAAGTCCATTCTTGGCCTATCTTTGCCTGCATATCACTTATATGCTGTTGAACCATCTACTCTGCCTCTGCTTCACTAGTAATCCCAACCTTTATCAATTTGTCAAATTTTTCAGAAGCTCCTTTGCAGTTTCTCTCACGTCATCCTTTCCGTGTAGTAGAAGTAACCTCTAAAAATCTGCAGTTATTGTATTTTCCTTCTTTAAATCAAAATCACCTATGCTGTAATGCCTGCAAAGCATTTGACAGTTGTTAGGCATCTGCTGTACTGTGACCACTGCTTATTATATGAATCATAATTAAGACTGCAGTTTAGTCATGGGTATTTTTAGTAAACAGGCCATGGGCAATAAACAAAAATTCACAGCCTATGACCTGTCTATGACTAGCACTATAAATATCCTAACCAAATCTTAGTTGTGGGAAGGCTCCTCTATAGGGCAGAGCCAGTGGCACTAGGTGCTGGACTCTACCAAGTAGTAGTTGGTATGGCCACCCTTGGGGCTGGTTTGGTGCAGCTGACCTGGGACTGCTCCAGAAGTGGCCAGTACAGCTGGCTGCAGAACCTTTGCAGAAGTCACAAAGGTCACAGAAAGTCACAGAATCCATAACTTCTGAGAACTCCATGACAGACATGGAGCCTTAATCATAATGTAATCACTGTCTCCCTGTCTGTTTATATCTACCTGTTGTTTTGGTCTACTTTCTTTTCAAATGACAAACTTGTTATATATTTATACAAGATCTGTAATTTTGGGATTCTGCTTCTTGTTTGGAAGTTGCAGTCACACCACAAGTAAGTAATATGGAAAGATCTGATCCAGAGCCCACTGGAGGCAATGGAAAGATGCTTATAACTTCAATTGGCTTTAGATCTTGCTCGGAATGAGGCACAGGGCCTTACAGGAAACCATGGGGATAAGAAGAAATATTGAGCAGCTGATCTGTTCACTGAGTACTGTCCACTTTGTAGATTGCAAGTGAAACCTTGAAAAGCAATTATGGAGTACATAGACCTTGTAATGGCTTTCTTCAAAGTGGTGAAATTCACTGTGAATGGGATGGGCCCAATGGAAAGACTAGGACATGATTATATATATAAAGAAAGTATATGTATGCATATGCACAAAGGTGGCAGTTAATGGTTGGATAAGCAATTTTAACTGTGTTATTTTTGACTTTTGAGTGCAACTCTAATGTGTTTTTTTGGCAGGGTGGGGTTATGAAATAATACTATTTCAACTATTTTCACATGATCATTCTAGTGTAGGGGTGTGCACACCTTTAGCACAGTTGCCAGAATATATTCCCGTCAGTGGTATCCATCAAGTCAGCACCAGCATCTTCTGGGGCTGGGTGATTATTGCATCAGTTTAAAGAACCCCGCCAATCCCACTCCCCTTCAACTCCATCTTACCTCCCCATGACAGTTGCTAGAACCCCACTTGTTCAGGCAGTCCTTCTATTTTTTTCTCTAGTTCTTAATGTAAATTGTTATTGCAGTGGGATACGAATTAGTTTAATAATTTTAGTAGGTTTTAGTATTTAGTTTTAGATGTTTCTGTGCTAGTGTTTCT